TGAGGAATCACGAGGCCAGATAGCCACAGGCGCCCATCCCTGTTACCCTAGAAGTTGGAATTTTACTAGAAGTCAGAACCTCTTGAATGAATGGTTCCTTTGACTCATCAGAGCCAATACAACAGGAGTCTGGTGGCACTGGCCGTGTCATGGTGCTAGATATAAAAAGCCATACATTTTGCTTCCTCATTTCATGTTTCTGCTGTTGGGGTGAATAAAATGAAGTGTGCCAATTAAAACATAAATAAACAAATAAATAAAAGAAGTTGCCCAATAATGTCTCCAGGTAGCAGTACCACTGCTCAGGCCCCTGGAGGCATCTGCACACCCAGCTCTTTCTTCTGTGTGTTTACTGACACTTGATATGGTCAACCTTTGCATTTTTGGCATTTTACTGGGTTAAACTTCAGGTTTACTTTTAACCGTGAATGCGATTGTGTGCCTTTTCACCTTCCATATCATTTCCTGTGTCTATGCAAATCTTTGCTCACTTAAAACACGTTTTTCCTCATTATTGAGTTTTTAAAAGTTTTAAAAATGTATTCTGGATGTAAGTGTTGTGGGTCACTCAGCATAGGAACCTGATTAGCCAGATTGAAATTTGAATGGAGCCTTTTATTTACTGAGCTCAGGTCCATCAGCCGTTTCTCACATAGAAGGCTGATCCGCACCCAAACGTAGGTAGCAGCGGCTATTTATAACAGATATCACATCCAGTTTGGTAATTGAATTTGTTATCTAGCACAAAACAACAGAAACTACATTTATTTGACACAGCTGCAAACTGTAACTAAAGGGTCTTTTATAGCTTAGTGATGTGTATATTTTTATAAGATACATCTTAAGCTGACCACGTTAAAGGAGATGGTTAGGGAGGGAGTTTGTTTCAGCTTGTTGCCTTGACAATGAACACTTATTTATTGTTAAACAGCCTTGAGCCAAGAGGGAGAATATATTTCTTAGAATAGATAACAGGAAGCACAACAGTTTTTAAATAATTTTCCACAGTTAAGGCACAAAATTCTGTTAACCTTTTATAGTAAGTCATTAACTAGATATATGCTTGGCAAATATTTTTCTCCAAATCTGTGGATTTTTTTTTTTAATAAACTTTTTTTTTTTTTTTTTTTTGAAATGGTTGTACCATGTAGTTCAGGCTGGCCTTGAAGTCACTATGTAGCCCAGGCTGGCCTTGAACTTGCAGCAATCCTTCTGCTTTAGCCTCTTGTGTGCTGGTATTACAGGAATGTGCTGCTTTGTAGATAGCTTTGCAGAATCTGTACCAACCAGATAAGAAATGCGAGCTCTAAGGAGTTTGCGAGGCGACTTACTTTATTGCTGCTAGTGGGCTGACAGGAATGCAATTCCAAATCATCAACTCCAAATCAAGGCCAAGCAGGATCTTACATAGGTTTTTACAAGCAGGCTTACAAAAGCTGACAGGGAGTTACCACATAGTTGGTTACATAAACTGTTTAGTCATCCAGGCAGATTTGCTTGGGGATTGATTTTGGCTACAAGAGGTCATTTATCATTTATTAAGGATGACAAAGAGTAGGTGCCAAGTGAGGGGTAGACTTGATTAAAGCATGTCCTTGACTGGGCCAGTCTGTCTCATGTGGGAAGACCTTGAAGCAGGCTAGCAAGCAGGTTATGTTTTCAGGCCTTGGTGCAACTGCTTACAGTCAAACAGAACTTACATATATATGTATTTTTTCTTTATTTTATTTTATTGAGAAACAAATATGAATGAGAAAGTTTCAAAGCTGATTAATAGGACAGTTTCAATAGTCAATACATTGTACATCAAACAGAACTTATATAGCTGACGTAATTATACTACTAATTTCTTTTGCTTCATTGAAAAGATTGGATTGTGCTTATACTGGTTGATTACTTTCGCATGTCTATATCTTATAATCTGAGCAACTACTTTGAAGACAATAATATGCAATTATCTTTAAGCTTCAGTCAGTGTAAACAGTTAAGGATAACTGAGTTTCTATCTATGAAGCTGCTAGCTTTTAAAATTTGGTCTTATACCACCATGCTTAGCCTTAATAAAGTTTTTTAAAGAACAGATTTATATTTACAGCAAGGTTGCAAAAACTAGTACAGAGATTCCCCAAACATCCAGTTTCCCCTACTTTTAAAATATTGTTACCTTGACACACTTGTCACAACTCATGAAAAAATATCGATATACTGAGATGAACTGAAGCCCATATCTTATTCCCATTTAATTAGTTTTCACCTAATGTCCTTCTTTCACAAGATGCTATTCAAAATATCACATTGCCCTTGATCATATTGGTTCCTTAGCTCCTCCAAACTACGCTGTGATGTTTTCTCAGAATTTCCTTGCTTTTAATAACTGACTGGCAATTTTGAGGAGTACTGGTTAGGTATTCTGTGGAATGTTCCTTGCTTTGGGTTTTCTGAAATAGATAATTATAACTGTAACCATAACTACAACTATATATATATTAACCATGGTTAGGCTTGGCTTATAGTTTTTCTGGAGGAAAATCACAGAGGCAGTGTATTTTCTTGCTTATAGATATCTGATTGTCAAACAAATTATCTTTTTTTCCATTGAAATGCCTTTGCAATTTTGAAGACAAGATGAAAGGAGAAGAGAAAGGAAGAGGAAGAGGAAAAAATTGTTCATTATGTGCACACTTATTTCTAGACTTTCTGTTCTGTTCCACCGATCTATTCATGAATCATTTGATCACGATGGTGTGTCAGTAATTGTTCATTAGAGAAACAGATGTAATACAAGATATATAAATATTATTACAACGACCTGTAAGGTAGGGTTACAATTACCACCTACAGAGTCAGGTGTGGAAAAATGGAAAACAGTTGTCTATACACCAGAGATCCAAAGGGTCCCGTCAAAAGGCACAGGCCTGGAGCTCACTGTAGTGTCCTGTGAGGGTAGCTGCTGCTAGGCTACTTGGTTCCCTCCAGCTGCAAGAAATTCTCAAAATGGCTGCTCCCATGGTGGGCAAGGCGGGGTCCTGAGGACCAGCTCTGGTGGATTGCTTCTCCACTTTTTAACTCTGACATATATGTTTTGTTTGATCTTCTTCTAGTATTCTTCAAGAATCTTCTTTCAAATTCATTTTCTGTGGTTTATGTCCCTCTCCTATAAGTCTCTCCAGTGTAACTCCTCTACTTAGACATGTCAGATCACCTTGCTTCTGTTTTCTTTAATACATTTTGGGGAATCAATATTCTTCTTCAATGTTTGGTAGACTGCATCAGTGAGTTTATATGGAGTTGAAATTTTATGTGTGGGGAAGTTTGAACTCTTTCTTTCTTTCTAGTGCAAGGTCCTGAGTTCAATTCTGGTCCTGAAGTCTGAATTTAATTTTAACTTAAAATATGTAGGTTATTTCTATGCAAGTTAAGTGTGAGCCAGGCCGAGCCAAAGCTGCTTTATTTATTTATTTATTTATTTATTTATTTATTTATTTTGGCGGAACCGGGGATTGAATTCAGGCCCTTGTGCTTGCTAGTCTAAGCAGGTTATTGATTTGCTTTTATGTAAACTCTGGTAGGTACGTTCTCAGAAGGAATTTGTCCACTGTCTTCCAGTTGTTGAATTTATTGGCATAAATCTGCCATATTCTCTCTCTCTCTCTTTTTTTTTTTTTTTTTTTTTCGGAACTGAGGATTGATCTCAGACCCTTGCACTTGCCAGGGAAGCACTTATTCCACTAAGCCAACTCCCCGGCCCCTCATATTCTGTTATTATAATATCAATAGAACATGTGTGATATTCCCGCTTGTGCTCCTATCAAGGATTCTGTTCGTAGGATGCTTTTCAGAACTTGCTCATAATGCAATGTGGAAACTTGGCTAATGTCGTAGAGTTGAATGCAGTGAATATTCCTAGTGTGCCTTCTCTGCAGGGCAGGGTATGGGGCTCGTGGGAAGAGGGGAAATACAATCAAGTCATTTCCTCCAATCTGAAGGATTAGTCAGTAGAGTGTTGGGGACAAACAGATTCCTGAAGACGGGCCCTGGTGTGATCAGATGAGCTCACATCTGAGCTCTCATCCTCTCCTAAGAATGCAACGGAACCCCAGCACCACATGCTGTGCTGGTCCTGGCCCTGGGTACACCAAACTGGCAACAGAGACTAGGTGCAGTGGCACACACCTCTAATTCCATAATTGAGGAGACTGAAAATAGGAGGATCACTACAAGTCCATGAAGGGTAGTGAGACCCTGTACCAAATACATAAATGAGGAAAAAAAAAAAAAATGCCAGGGCACAGAAGCAAGAAAGAGGTGTCTAGCAGAATGATCTGGCCAGTTGTGTTCAAGTGACCACCCATGGAGTTAGATGTATCAAGAAGAAAACAATGTAAAATAGATGATGGTCAGATTCCATCAAATGCCCTGGAATGTAGATGGGCTGTCAGTCTCATTTCAGCATTAGAGAGGACTTAGGTTGGAAATGAGAAAAAAAATCCTGCAGAAAGTAAACAAGTAAGTAGCAATGCTTTTTCATGCCTGAGTTGCTAATTAGGAAGCTTTGTTCACTCCCAGTGGGCAGATCAAAGGGAAAGATTTTCCAGTGCTTCCCTGGAGGTTAGCTTACTGATTGCTGCTTGAGGAAAGAGCTTTTGGTGATCTGAAGAAGAAATTCAAATTTCACTTGAGGACAAATTCTAGAAATGCAAGCTTTATTTAGGCTTATTTTACTTATATCTCAATCCTCAAGATTCAAACACATTGCACAATAACCCAATGTCTAAATCCACATTGCAACATATACCACGAATATTTCCCCCCAAAAGTTCAAAAGCTGTTCTTATCTGAAGGTCATAAAAATCATACTGCACCCAATTCTAGCAATGACTTTATGAGTATGACTTTATGGATGTGTTGTACAAGCTATATTTGTGCCTGTATTTCTCATTCCCTCCTGCTGCACTTCACACCAGCCGAGAGTCTGAGCAGCTGGGAGGCTCTGGGCTGCGGTCCCCATGGCTCCTTCATCTTCACCCATCCTTCTACCTCTGTACCAGTATCTGCTGCTGGTATCCAGCTTTGCCCAGGCAGGCAGGCTGCTGGTGGTGCCAATGGACGGGAGCCACTGGTTCACCATGCATTTGGTGATTAAGAAACTCATTGAGAGAAAGCACGAGGTGGTTGCGGTCATGCCAGAGGTGAGTTGGCACATGGGACAATCAATGAATTTCACAGTGAAGCACTATGCAACCTCCTATGCTCTGGAGGAGTTAAACCGGGAGTTAAAGATTTTCACAGATGCTGCATGGGAGAGGAAGGAAGAAAATATGTTTCATACATTGGTTTTTACGAAGAAAGGTTTGGACATGCTGTTTTCACACTGTAGAAGTTTGTTTAACAACAAGACCTTAGTGGAATACTTAGAGGAGACTCATTTTGACGCAGTGTTTATGGATCCTATGGAGCCATGTGGCTTAATTGTGACCAAGTACTTGTCCCTGCCCTCTGTGATCCTCACCCGGGGACTCTACTGCCATAGCATTGAAGAGGGCACACAGTGCCCTGCTCCTCCGTCCTATGTTCCCAGAATTCTCTCACAGTTCTCAGATGCCATGGATTTCAAAGGGAGAGTACAGAACTATATTGCCCGCTTTGGGGAGCATTTAATTTGTCCATATTATTTCAAGAAAGTCTTAGAAATTGCCTCTGACATTCTCCAAACACCCGTCACAGCATATGACCTCTTCAGCCACACATCGATCTGGTTGTTGCGCACAGACTTTGTTTTCGACTATCCCAAGCCTGTGATGCCCAACATGGTCTTTGTTGGTGGGATCAGCTGCCACAAGGGAAAGCCCTTGGCTGAGGTTCGTTCTCTCTCCTTTGCTATGTAGGATAAATTGGCTGCACATTCACTAAAAGGTAACTTACTTAATTGTGATTTGTTATTTATTATGATCCTGAGAATTGAGGCCGGGGTCTTTGCCCTGAGATACATCCCCTTGTTCACTATTTATTTTCATATAGGGTCTTGCTAAATGGCTGGGCTGAGGGCAAGTTTATATTGTTGCTTTAGCCTCACAGAGTAGGATTGGAGGTGTGCATGTCCAAGCCTGGATTTTGTCACTTTCACATATTGTATTTGTGTTTTCTTCCTGGTTTAATGAACTGCTTTGAGCCAGTTCATTTAATTGTTGACCAGCAAATTTTGTAAAGCTGTGTTGTTGTCATAGGTGCATGTACTGTTATGGGTCAACTCTGCATAGGAACCAGATCAGTCAGATAGAAATTTGAATAGAGCCTCTTATTTACTGAGCTCAGGTCCGTCAGCCACTTCTCTTGCAGGAGAAGGCAGATCGGCCCCAAACGTATGTAGCAAGAGGGTATTTATAACAGAAATCACATCCAGTTTGGTAAGCAAACTTGTTATCTAGTACAGAACAACAGAAACTGCATTCATTTGACACAGCTGCAAACTGTTCGTAACTAAATGGTCTTTCACAGCTTAGTGATAAGTGCATATTTTTACAAGATACATCTTAAGCTGACTACATTACAGGAGATGGTTGGGGAGGGAGTTTGTGTTAGCTTGCTGCCTTGACAAGAAACAGTTATTTATTGTTGAACAGCCTTGAGCCGAAAGGTAGAACACATTTCTTAGAGCAGATAACAGGAAGCACAAGGGGTTTTTATAATTTCCAACAGTGAAGGCACAAAACTCTATTAACCCTTTACATGTACAACTGACATAAGGGCATGCAGTTTACAGGCTACATTTTAATTATTATTTTTACAAAGATTGTGAAGAGTAGAGTAAGAAATGAAACCTTTCTTTCTTTAAAAGTATTTTTCATGAATTTATTTTGTTTAAAAGATTTTTTGTTTTTGGTGCCACTGGGTCCTTCTGTATGCTAGCTAAGTGCTCTATCACTGAGCCATGCCCCCAATCTAGAGTGTTCCTTTATATAAATCTTCTGTTACTCTTTGTAGGAAGTGCTGTTAATTTTAAATGTATCTTTTCTAATTTTTTTATTACTTAGCAATATGCGCAGAGCTCATGCAAATTCTCCTGTCTACCTTATTATAATAAAATATAGTCACAGGATGGATATATTCTTTCTCTCACTTTTTTATATATTAAAAATCATTGACATCTTAGACCCCAATATAGATTTGACATATTCTTTCAGTATTTGCAGTCTTACCTGAGATGTATCATAGATTTTTTTTTTAACCAACCAATATTGTTATTTATAGTTTTCTCATCTTTTGCTAGTATAAACAAGACCAGACTAAAAATTATGTAATTTATTCTTTAAACAGAAATATTTCTAAAGTTGGGTTTTGAGCTTAGTATGGCAGTGTCCTAGGAGGAGAATTGCTGGATCTAATGGTGCACTCAGATTATGTTTTATTTATTTATTTATTTATTTATTTATTTGTTTATTTATTTATGTGTGTGGTCAGCTCAGCCCACTAGGGGGCAGGGCTGTCTGGCATGTGGTGCTGGGGGATTGAACCGCGGTCCCTGTGCTTTGCTAAGCTTGTTCTAAGTAGGTGCTTTAGACCACTGAGCCATCTCACCAGCCCCAGATTATGTTTTAATAGATTTGAGAAACTCCTTTCAAAACCTCATATAAGCTCACACCTATGTAAACAATATATCAAAGTTACAGCCTTCCTTTTTTTTTTTTGTATTTTAGGTTAGGTTCTACAGGGTGTTCAGGGTCTCACTACTAGATTGGACTTGTAGTGATCCGCCTGTTTACAGCCTCCCAAAAGCTAGAATTACAGGCGTGTGCCACCATGCCCAATCACAATCTCTCAGTGTGCCTCAGGGCGGGGCAGCAAGACAAGCCCAGGATGGAAGCCCGGCTGCTGAGCCTGCCTAAGCAGGCACTTTAATACGATGAGCTATTTGGCCAGCCCTAAAATTTTAAATTGTTTTGATCAGTTCCAATAAATGAAAGCAGACTGTGCTCATGGGCCAAGGTCGCCTCAGCAGCGATGGGGAAAGGCAGAGCCACCAGGTGATCACCGACCAGCGCACTCTACCCGAATGCAGTGAAGGACGGGAGAGCGGGGACACGGGGGCCTGGGACCCTGGGCAGCGGAGCCCACCTGAAGGAAAAAGGTCGAGCGGAAGCTGGGTCAGCAAGAATGTCACTGCTTCTATTGGTGTCCATTTTCCTATCTGCAGCTTTTGTTATGCTTTTGGTATATAAAAAGTTTTCTCAGCTTAGTGAAGAGGAAAGACTGAATACTAAAGTTCCCAAAGATATGGATGATGCCAAGGCTCTAGGCTAAGTTTTATCCAAATATAAGGACACCTTTTACGTACAAGTACTTGCAGCTTATTTTGCTACATATATTTTCTTGCAAATATTTGCTATTCCAGGCTCTATAGGTCTCAGCATTCTCTCAGGGTTCCTGTATCCCTTTTCCCAAGCCTTGTTTCTTGTTTGTTTGTGTTCTGGACTTGGTGCTTCATTCTGCTACATGCTCGATTTAGTTGGTTGACCAGTTGTATACAAACATGTAACAGAGAAAGCAGTACAATTGTCACAGCAGGTTGAACGTCATAGAGAACATCTCATCGATTACATTACATTTTTGAGAATAACACCATTTCTGCCTAATTGGTTTATTAATGTTACATCTCCTGTGATAAGCATGCCATTGAAAGTTTTTTTTATCTGCACTTTTTTAGGTGTTGCTCCTCCCTCTTTTGTAGCAATTTAGGCAGGAACAACATTGTACCAGCTGACGACAGCAGGGGAAGCTGTTTCCTGGAACTCAGTATTTATTTTGATGGTTTTGGCTGTTCTTTCTATTCTTCCAGCCATGTTAAAAAAACAAAAACCAAAAAACTAAAACAAAAATTTGAGTGAAAAATTGTAGGTTTTAAGTATCCCATATCATTGTCATCGTCATCATTGTCATCTCAGGATTAGCAGATGCATCCATTTATGGTTTTTCTTTTTTCTTTTTCTTTTCTTTTTTTTGGAACCTGGGATTGAACTCAGGCTCTTACACTTGCCAGGGAAGCACTTATCCTATGGAGCCATCTCCCCAGCCCCCTCTTTTTTCTGTCTTCCAGTGCTTGGGATCAAATCCAGGGCCTTGTGCATGCTAGGCAAGTTTTCTGCCACTGAGCTGTATGCCCAGCCTCTTTGTGCTTTTAAATCACCTTTTTAGTTATTGAAGCAACAAATTTGTGAGTAAAACTCTCATCAGTTAAAATAATATATTTAAGAGACAAAGGGGAGAAACGAGTAAGAATGGAAATTCATGTACTATGAAAAGTGCTGTCATCAGCAGTTACAATAGACATGTTACTGTAGTAAAGGAGCTTAGGTAGAAACTGAGTAGTAGTGAATGAAACGCTTTGTCCAACTGATACTTTCAATTTAATATTTTTCTCTCATATCTAATAAGTAAAATAGAAAGTGGTGTCGTTCTTATCGTTAGCCTTCTTTCAGAGCACATAAATGGGTGGGTTAACTAAAGCTTAAATAAGATTTACATTTTCATTCTTTTTCTCTTCGAGGTAATTTATTTAGAGGTTGTATCTTCACAGACCACCATATATGGAAAGGGTATCAAGTTATCTATTAGTGTTTCATTTTTATTCTGTTTTAAATTTTCATCATGGATTAATCTGTAATTTAAGTTCTAGCGATTTCTGTTTTTATTATTCTTTCCTAGTTCATATATAAAATGGAGATTACATGATAACCATTTTTTTGAACCAAAACTGATTTATTTATCAAAGTAAAATACTTTTAAGCATATATGAAAGTGCAAAATGACTGATTTTTTTTTTTTTTCAATAAAGAGATCGGGCCGGGGAGATGGCTCAGTAGAATAAGCACTCAGAATCAAGAATATTACCATTAACTAAGCAGCAATGGTATTAAAAATAAATGAAAGATTATTGTGATTCTGGAACCTAGCCAGTCTGTCAGTTTTAGCCTGGAACAGTGGTGCACGCCTGTAAGGCCAGCCCTTGGGAGGTTGAGACGGGAGGATCACCATGAGTTCAAGGCTGGCCTGAACCACATAGTGAGTTCAAGGGCAGCCAAACTGTAAAATTTACCTATCTCCAAAATACTATAAAAAATAGTAAAAAGTCATAAAGTACTCTGTCACTGCTTTTTTACCCCAAGGTTGTCATTATGTTGAAAAGTCCTTTAGCTGTGAGAGAAATCCTTATATGTTTCATTGTGAGAAGTGAGATCACCTCAAAGCCTCACTCTGCTACAGAATGTGGACTGATTCATTTTTTTTTTCTATTACAGTATTAACAAATAGGTTCATTGTAAGTATAAAGAAAATATATTGATTAATATAGTAGTCTTATGTCACCTGGACCTTTGTGTAAAATTATTTATTATTTCTAGTAAGATTTTATTCTTTTCTTATTCACTAGAGGCTGAGTTATAAAGCTTTTATTATTATTATTATTTTTTTTTTTTTGCGGAACCAGGGATTGAACTCAGAGCCTTGCACTTGCTAGGGAAGCACTTATTCCACTGAGCCATCTCCCCGGCCCCACTTTTATTATTTTTACAAATGAATTTAAACAGCCTTTTGAGACAAAGCACACAAATATTACTGTGTAAAATGCAACTGAGTCAGTTTTTATCAAACTTTGAAAAAGAAAAGAGCCTGGACTCAGGAGACCCCTCACTGTTCACTGTGGTGTATGTCCATAGGACTTACTCTATTCTCAGAGTATTCACTCCACCCTCACCATAGATGCTTGTCCTCTGCTAATTCCTCCTCCTGTTAGAAAATTGTAGCTCTCACTTTAGGCAGGATGTATTTTGTTCTCCCAAGAGAACAGCTGTGCTCTGTGGGCTCCTCCCAGACTGTCAAGAACCCTGCAGCA